AGAGCYSAATGACAGGCTGCAGTGCAYRGCAGATCAAGGAATTCTCTTCCAGCAGCACACCAATTGCATTGGCAGTTTTATATGCTGATTTTGTGGTGTTCTCTCAGTCAGTTTTCCTGTTCACACAGGGCTTTGTGGAAGCAGATAATGTAATGAATTGATGTTGTGAGATAGCATCAGCACCCTGATTTCTCATCAGTAGATGCTTAAAATAGCAATTCATTTTTTACTGTCAAATTTCTACTCTTTCCTTCTTGCTTTGCTTTCCCCTCCCTTCTTGCTCATTGCTTTCCATTTCCTCTGGTCTTCAGTGCATCCTGAAAATGCACAGACATAAAGTTTTAGGCACAAGTTCAGTGTTGGAAGGATTCTGTCTCTGGCCAGACACCCAAAGTTTCATCATCTTGAAAAAGCCTGAGCTAACCTCAAAAGAACTACATTTTATCTACTCAGAGACTGAAGTTTTAACTCAAAGAAGAAAARAATGGAAGGGAAAAGCTCAGATTCACATGCAAGCTCGTAAGCACGCGAGCCAACTAACATTTATTCAAGCTCTTCCCAAAGCCCTCTAATGAACACCACGTGCAGACAATCTGTCATTGGCACGTACAAGCAAGACATTCATGATCTTCACTGCTCATGAAGCTTTGCACTTTGCCCTCAGGCTGCTATCCTGAAAATATTGGCTTCTCATATGAGAGATGTGCTGTCTTCACACAGCTATGATTTGCTATATGAGTGATGGAGCAAATTTTATTTGTGCCACTCTCTGTGCTCATGTACTTTAACAGAGAAAATTGAAATTTATCCTGAGCAACCTGATCTCTCTTGTTCTGTGTGTAAATGCAGGCTGTCGTGTTGGATGGCTCAAAAAACATTTTTCCTACTTTATATGTGGTGCCTAAGGTAAGGAAGACAGGGAAGGGTAACCCAACTAAATACTTTAGGTTGGTCTTAGAACATGACAGAACAGCTGAATACAGCTATGGAGGGTTTTTTAAAATAAAATAACAATAATAATAACAACAACAATAATAATAATAATAATAATAATAATAATAATAATAATAATAATAATAATAATAATAATAATAATAATTGATACTTCTATACAAGAATAATAATTTTTTTGGTGTTTACTTATGATAGTCAGGTAAAATGGTAAGACCCCTCATTCTGGGTACACAGAACCACTCACATTGCATGCAACAGCAACACGTGCTGCTTTTGATATACCCTGTGGTCTGGAAATCAGGATCACAAGGTGTGCTGGGAGCCTGGAAGCCCAGAGAACTGCAGGGACTGCTCTCAGCTGAGTTCCCAGCCTCTGCCTGTGCTGGGCCTGCCACCATTCTTGCAATTTGCATTCATTATTAGCATTCATTATTAGCATTCATTATATGGTAGTGCTTTTATGATGTGAGTGCATCTCCACCTGGAACAAGTTGAAAAAGCAGAAAAGCCATCCAAGTGCTATCAGATGTTACTAACGTTGAGCCCACCAAAATCTGGACTGCAGCTGAGCCACTGGCACACAGATGACAAGTCCTACACCCCATCAGGAATTTCCTGAGTCCTCAGATGTGCTGCTCATGCGAAAGATGCTTCTGAATGAATCGTCATTCTTTGAGTGACAAAGCAGGGGATAGCAGAAACTTCTGATGGTTTTATTAATGGCTTGTCAGTCCAGAGCCTGTATCTTTTTTCTCTCACTGGTTCATCCCCCAGGAGGATTCCTTTCACAGACCCTCTGCCCTCCTATGGTGAGAGCTGTGCTGAGCCCACCAGCACAACCCTGGGCTGGTGTAAGAAGGGCTCTCCAGCCAGGCTGGCTGCACAAACCTTCCCAAACCAGAGCAACCAGCCCCCACTGCATTTTCAGTCTCAGGCATCTCTGCACCATGTTTATGTCTGCACAGAAAATTTTTTTTTTCACTGCTGCAGTCATTTTCTCGCTTAACCCTTCTACCCAAGGATTGTTTTCTGCTCCTTCCAGTCATTATTTCATGGCTCCCCCTGTGATTCCCACACCAGGAATTCCCTCCTCTCTGCTCCTGAGTGCTCGTGACAGTTGCCATCTTGGCCCAATCAAGGGTGATTGATCCAGCATCGTTCAGCATCAAGAGCATTTGATCTGTAAAGCTCTCCAGCTGGGGCTGTAAGAACTCATATCCGCTCTGGGTTACACATCAAGCAACTCTTTCCCCATCAGTCACGACTTTCCTGAGAGAAAAGTTCTTCAATGAAGCCCTTCACATCTAATCCACCATCTCATGCAGATTGTGATGGGAAAAATTTATGAAAAGCAATATTTTGTAGCGCTTTGAAGCAAACAAAGCTGATCTCCATGTCAGTGTTGAATAAAAACTTCTGTGGGCAGAAACTGTTAATACTTCCAGGATTCAGTTCACGATAAGAACAGTCAAATCATAAATATTTATGCCTGGGGTTCACTAAATGAGTCATTACTCACTACTTTGTTTCATTTCATTGACTCTGTGACTGTATTTACTGTGTTTACATGCAGATCCAGCCCTGCAGAGTGAACTGCTGCTGTCACTGCCAGCACAGCACTGCTCTGTCATCTGGAAACAGGCTCCCAATTCTGGGAGTAAGAGAATCAGGGCCAGACATTCCTGTGTGTGTGGGATAGCTCTTTCAGTGCACCTGAAGACATAAATACCTTTTTATAGCTGACAATGCAATGTGTGTCCAACTCTCCACCCTCCTTTAGGTTCACAACATGAGCCAAAAGACCACGTCACTTTTACTGAAGGCTGGTTGTGTTGTGTTGCCTAAATCCCAATTTTTGCACAATCAAACTCGACTTGTTTGTCTACCTGGCACACAAATATGGAACTAAATATCTATTCAGGCATTTGATTTACTGAGCAATTTTTTAGCTGTATAGCAACGTGCTTCTATACATTACAGGCCAGAACAGGACAGACAGAACACTTTCTGTCTCTGAGACACAGCAGGTTGGAAAGGAAGAAAACAAGGACAGCAAAATTTGTAGAGAGGTTTCTCCTCATCTCCTGATAGCGAACTCAGTGGTTATTGAGCCAGGATTGTTATCTTTGGATTTAATTGTTTTAAAAGTTTTTCTTTCATGGTTTTGCCCCATCTCTCATTGATCTAATGTGAACTTTTAAAAGCCACATCCTCCCATGACAAGGAGTATCTAAGGCTTAATTATATGTTGTGTGAAGCACCATTTTCTCTTCTTTCTGTTTCTTTTCTTAAACCTGTCACATGTGGGATTAATTTGTCAGCCCTCATAGCTCTCATAATGAGAGATGTTTGAAAATCTTTCCATCTTTGCTTGTTTCCCTTCCTGTGTCCTTGTAACGTTACACATCTCCATCAGTCTCTCACCTCTTTCCAGACCAAGGAGTTACTGTACATGTCTATATGGAATTTGTTTCCTATCTTTGTTCATCCTTTACTTTGAGCTATAAAAACTTTTTTTTCCAGATTTACATGTCCTTTGGGAGGTGAAGGGCCAGAGCTGTGCATTATATTCAGCAGTCAGGTGCATTATTGGCTCACAGAGCATAATGCTTATGTGATTTGTTTCCTCTGCTTCCACAAAATCCATTTTTGTCCCTCTTAATCGACAGGTTCTATAGGAAAGAAAGCTGCAATCCTCTGGCCATAACTAGAATGATATGGTGCAGAATCCCTATTGCAAACCCAGGCAAAATTCCCTAAATCCATAAAGTAAATGGGAAGTTATTAAGGTACCATGCCAATTAGATATCTGTAGGGCATAAATTCAGGATTAACTGCTCTCCACACAATATCTCACTGATATGAGAGAAACAAATGAACTTACATAAAGATCAGCTATTAAAAATGCTGAAAGTTTTAGGATGTCACAAGGAAAACCTTGARGGGCAGGAAATGCAGTTATCTGATCCAAAGCCCATTAAATCACCCAAGTCCTTTCCCTGATTTCTGAAAACCTGGACATGGCACCAAAGTCCTACACTGATTTTAATCTGAAGATATAAAATTAAGTAATATGAGGGATTTAATATGAATGGAGGGATTTTCTGCGTGAAGCCAAAATCACAGCAAACATGACAGGGTTAGCTGAAGTTTCTTCCAGCTTCTGCATTTTTTATTTTTATTCTTATAAAACATTTTTCAATGTGCTAGCCATCATTATATATCTTGCAAATCATCAAYGCTTAATTGTGTCTAATTATTAATAAGGACTGAATACATATTTCCATATACATGGAGTGCAACAGACATAGGATGGCATGTCAMTGTTCTGAAAATCTCAGCTTCCACTGGTAAATTTGCTAATGAAAATATTGAACATTCCRTCATAATCAAACATTTTTTATTATYTAGAGATGYTCACATTTAKWGGGCATGCATATCAYCYAGAAGTTAAAAGGTGGTTAATTAAAGTCAGTGGTTTCTTTTGAATTAATTATATATTTTTATTCTAAATTATCGCTTTTAATGAAAAGCTATTATTTACAATTCAAATTATGAATAATACAAGCAAAATCTCCAAGAAACAACAACATTCTCATCTTAATGTGTTCCACAATTACATAATGCAGGATCCCCCCACACACACCAGTGAAACAGGAGGGCGAAAAAAAAACCTTCTGTGCTTGGAAAAACACAGAAAACTAAAAATAAAAATTCCTGAATTGGCTTGCTGTGGGTACGGGGCACAGAAAGGCTGCAGAAAGTCAGAGCTTTGCAAAATATGTCAGGGAGARCTGGCAGGGAGAGCCTTCAGCTTCTTCATCAAGCAGCATCTTTGATTATTTAGAAGACGAGATTATTTGGAAAGTACTCCCTGGAGATGCCTTCACCAAGAGCCTCCAGAGGTATTCAGCCACTTCACAGTTGTTTCTCAGAGGAAATCAGAATAAAATACAGCACCTGCCAGCCCAAGGCAGAAATGCACAGGAACAGTTTCATCCCATTGCAGTGGCCAATGCTGACAAGGGAAAGAGAAATGAGTGCTCTTATTTTGGATATATCTTCTTTGACGGCACATTTTTATCTGCACAAAATGAAATCACCTTTTTATACAGAACAATTAAGCGGTCTTGGCCCAGCTTAAAAGCAATGAAGACAATTTCCATGCCAATCAAAATATAGAGGGAAAAAAACATGAAAAACTTGGGATGTTCCAGTTGTGTATCTCCAAATCCAATAGTGGTCAGAGTGATAAAGCAGAAATAAAAGGCTTCCTCAAAATCCATATTGGTTTCCCAGTTTGGAAGAAGAGCAGCTGCACAGGAGATGTACAGGAAGATAACRACCACCATTAATAAAATGGGCACATCTAGTTTTTCCAGCTCTTTCCCTATTTTGTCGAAATTCTCAATTACTCTGGACACTGTCTTCTCCCTGGCTAGTTCAGGACATGAACTCCATCTCTCCATGCTTTTATTTCTTACTAGTTGCCTGTTTTCCTTCTCCCTGGCAATTAACATTTCAAAAAGTTCCACATTGCGATATTTGACCGACCTCCCTTTCATACCTGACTGACTCCTCAGCAGTTCCATGATGGTTGGGGGCTCATTGATGACTATTTTAGACTGTGCCCTGGATTTCAGTTCRTTCCTTTTGCTGCATGTGGACCCAGAGCAGAGTTTAGAGGCCAGAATTCTGGACTGCAGTTTACTGAACTCATTGTAAGATTTGGATAAGACGGCTGCAAGGATGTCTCCCACGTCTGTCAGGACCAAGAACATCAGAGGGATCCCAAATAAAGCATAGAAAATACAGACATACTTCCCAAGCCGTGTCACAGGGTAGGTGTTACCATAGCCTTGGACAAGAACAAGAAGAGCAAGAGAAAAAGAGAGAGAAATGTGATATTTAAAAGGGTAACAGAAGATATGCCCTTTCCCTAAATCCAATTTGGGTATTTATATTTCCTCCTTCTAACACATTGGATACGAAACTTGATTGGATATGAAGTCAGAATGAAAGATTTCAGAGGTGTGATTTAAACACTCTCATGTGCTGTTAACTCAGAAAAATGTGAACACCAACATAGTTAATTACAGAGCCACAAATTAATGAAGCTGAATTAGACATAAGTAACTAGGAAGCAAYTGAAAAACAATATATGCATTATGAATTACCTTTCCAGAGAAGAAAACATTACCCAAGAGRAYACACAACTGTGGGAAGGATAAGGTTTGACTGAAAAATTGAGTTTTMTTGTTAGTTCAGTAGTTCTGTACSTGTCATATATGCTTTCATATTATARTATACATAAAATTATRCAGCTAACTAGTGTGCACCATCAATAGTCATTAAATTCTGACTTAATCCTGTGACTCAKCTGTGTCTCTGCAGTTTGTGTTTGCAGAACCACTTGGAGACACATCATCAATACTCAGGAGAAAAATTCAAAGGGATCTGGGCTTTTGCTTTAGAAGGGGTGTTTTTGTTCATTTGTTTAGGGTGTGTTTAATTCCCTGGAAGAAATGCTTTAGAGAAAGCAGCAACAGGAATTGGCTCTGAAGGGTGTTACTTTACCTCTSTACTTACCCACAGTGGTGAATACTGTGCAGCAAAAAAACAGAGACCCAAAGAAACTCCATCTTTCTTCTGGRTTGACAAACCAGGCTGGGTCAGCTGTGTTGAAAAGCTTATGGATGTCATCCTTAAACCTCTTCCCATTTTCTGTGGCGTTATCTGTCACAACAGGAGACACAGTGAGTGTTTGCAGATCACCACTCAGGAGCAGCCAGCCTGTTACCCCAGTGAAATTTATTCCAGAGGACCATTTCCTCATATTCTTTTAAAATATTGTAAATATTCACCTTCTCACCCTTTCCTTTCAAGCCACTCAACCCCACCTTTGAAAAAATCAGGTGGGTTCAGTGGCTTTGGTGAATAAAGAAACAAGGAACATATAAATGTAAGTATAAAGAAACAGAGAAAGAAGATTGAATAATCAGTTTCCAGCCTGAATCTCCTGTTGCATTTTGGACWYCCCRAGARAYCAGCCTTCTTTTGACCCAAAGACARTAAGAAATGTGGGGTCAGCAGTAGGGATCCAATTTGAACCACTTGGATGTCACTGCTGTGAACCCCAGAGCCTGCAACCTTTATTCCTCCTCCCCGTGGCTGAGCCTTGCTTGAAAGGACACTTTTAATATCATTTAATTGCCCCAAACTGATYTTTGTGCCAGTGAGGGAAATGCCAAGCCCCTGTATGAGCCCCATCACAGATCCAGGAGGATTTCCAGCCCTCATTTTCTCCTCCAGCTCCTCCARCAGCATCTCTGGGTCTGGGATACAGAGCTGCACCTGTCCCACTCTAAACATCCCATCACCAGAGGGCTGGAGGGGTGCTCAGAGCAGGGAAAAGAGAGCTGGAAAAACTTTCTGAGAGAGGATTCACCTCTCCACAACAATCTCAGCTGCTCATTAGGGACCTGAGGTAACCTGGGCACCTCAGGAAAAATCTTTACAGGCAGGAACACAGGGATGGGGAAGCTGGCAGCCAAAAATCACAGCTAAGGAAGGAAAGAGCAGTCATTAGCCAGGCAGAGGGAAAACCCTGCTTGCAGAGTCACCTGTTAGTATGAGCAAAAAAAAATCTCCTTCAAAAAGCAAGAGAATGAGTAGCTCCCTGCACAATTAAGTCATTTTGAAATTCTAGTACATACCTGAGAAGTTTCTGGCGAGGTCCGTCAGGTTCTGCAGAAATATTCTATATCTRTATTCTTCACTTAAAGGGAGCTCCTTACCTTCAATGTAGTGAAACATGAGAGCCCCAAGAAAAGCATAGATGACAAGAGACAGAATGAAGCAGGCATGAGGAAACACTGCCCAAAATATCTTTTTACTTGTTGTTTTATCTCGCTGAGGCTGTGATGTTGATGCCATCCTGAGCTTGCTTTTTTTTTCTTTTAATATATAATTTTGTGGAGAAGACACAGCTTTTAARAAGGAGGACGAGGATGTAAAAGCTTTTGCAGCCAAGAAAAGCTTCTCCTGTGCAAACAAGGCTTGTTCTGCCTCAGGCTTTCAGATCACATGTCTTTATGAGTGAAGATTGCACTACAGTCCCCACGGAAAAGGAGCACMACTAATCAAGCCCTGAAATTCTTCTCAGTTGACGCCACCACTCCACTCTACCCCTGAATTATTATTGATCAGCCAGWGCTGTAATGCACATGGATTACCAGCTCCTATCACCTTCTAACTCGTGCTTAAAGTTTCTTCTCCTGAACAGCAGTTTCCCATTGACAGAGCAGAAACATTTCCAGCTCCCAGGAGGGGAAGTGTGCACTGTAAGGGATGGAGTTCTTTAAAGATTTCTCCCAGAGACAAACAGGGAAATTTAAAATTAATCAAAAGAAAGGGATGGTATTAATTGTTGCCTCTGGGCAGACTGTAGAACAATTAATTTTTCTTACAGAGGGCTTAAAGAATCTCTGTGCAATCTTTGCAAAGAGGTCTTTTGAATTTTAAATTCTTTTTCTCCCAAGCAAAAAAATAAAAGAAAAATATTCAAAAAGGTTTTGCTTAGCTCTCACTTGGATAAAATCTTCCTATATAAATAGAAGTTTCAGTTTTTAAATTCCCACTGACCCTCATAAGTAAAAACTGCAAGAAGCAGTTCTGGGTTCAGGATCTTTGCAATCTCTATTCAGGTTTAAAAATAAAGCCTTTCTTTTCATCTATTACTCTAAAACACTTGGAATAACAAGCAGCATCACTGCTCTTTGCAATGTTTGTGGTGGTAGTAAGGGGAGYTGGACTTTACAGAAAGAGGTATTCAATATTTCATCTCCAGGCATCTTTCATTAAAAATTGAAACAGTCTTGTGCCACCAAGACCTACAGAGCTGCATGTAAGGAAAAAGTCCACACATCCACACAGAAATCCTACATGGTCACAGTGATTTCTTCCAGGTCAAACTCTCAGTGAATTGGATGAGAAGATAGTTTATGTTCATCAATCTGCAAGTCTGCACTATAAAAGAGAGGCTTTTAGGGCTAAAACAAAAAAAAAGTCCTTGTGCTTGCTACTTTTCTGGTTATCTGCCTCATTGGCTCAGTCTTTGACAACTGATTTAGAAATCCTCTTATTGCAGTCAGTCCCTGTTTTATTTTTTCCCCTGCTGGCCTGAAACACAGGGTTAAAAATTGCTAATGCTCATAATTAATCAAMAGCAAGATAACTTCCTGAGAGGTTGCACTTGGAGATAATGTACAGAGGCTTGGTGTGCTTTATGCTGGGATTTGAGTTACAATAGAGATTCAAACATTGGGCAGTTATTTATTTACTGCTCTTCAAATGCACGGATTACACACACCTGGAGGAGGCAACAGCTCCAGGCAGCACAGGAAAAACTGAGAAAAATTCAAAAACAAGCATGGCTGAAGGTATGGACAGCTTTCAGACAAAGAATGACTGAGCAGTCATTGACCAGGGGAAAAATATTTTGATTGAGCAGTCTTCAATCTGCCAGGTGTCTGGAGAGAGCAGGTGGGGAAGCAGATCTCTGGAGTCTCTTCTGGAAGCAGAATTGAGGAACAAAGCAAGAAGAAAAGTGCTTTAACAAATAAAACAGTATTGTTTCTCACATAGCTGGAGAATTCTTTGCCCAAGGATGCTGAGTTTCCACACATGAAAGAGAATGGAGAGATGTTTAGAAGAACAGTCATTTACACTGACTACAAACCACTCAGGGCTCAATAACCCCCCTGAACTGAAAGCAGTTTGCAGCTGTAAAAATAAGGGTATTGGGTCAAATGGGCCCCATCTCTGAGGTAATGTATTCACACTGATGTTCTAAAAAAGTTTTTCAGTGGCCAGTATGGTAAGTCTGGTGCAATTTGTCCTGCACAGTTTTTTGTCTACATCTCAGAAATAAACATCTTTCCTACAAAGTGCTTTAAAATCTTCTCAGCCTCCTCCTATATGTGGTACTGCAGAGTATTTAGCAATTCCCAGGAGCTTCTCAGCCATTTGCAGCATCAGGCTCTGAGCTTGTGACAACAAGAAAATTTAATAAAAATAAAACCCAGAAATGATTTTTACATTATTTGCTTAATCTAAACCATTTCCCACTATTGCTATATTACACACTTGAACTCAGTAGCTTAAAAGCAAATCCCACTAACCACAAGTTATTCCAAATTGAGTTACTGGTACTTGTATTGAGAGAGATTTTTGCAAYACACATTTCCTACTCACATTAATGGACAGAAAACCCGCACTTGTCCTAACTTCCATTTCTTTGATTAGGGCAAATGTGAGTGCTCTGAAGGTYCTGCTTGAAAGGGAAGTTTTTGACCACAGCTGCAAGGTTAAATAATTCCAGTAAAAACATATTTATGTTGAAATTCCTATTTAATCTGATATTTCAGAATTACATAGGTTAAACCTAGAAGGTCATTGTTTGGGCAGAGAGAAATTTTTTTTTTTCAATAAATCAGTAAAACTCTCCCTGAATTAAGTCATCTGCCACGTTGCCAAAGACTTTCTGTGTTCCCTTTTCTATGAAACACCACTGGATTCCCCATTCTGCACTGACAAAGGGTGTGATGCCTTCCTTTTYTAGAGAAAATCAAAAGTGACTTGATGGATGACAGTGCTTTATAAAAATAAATGGCAATGGACTAAATTGTTTTTGTTTACACCTGGTGTTGATTCTTACAGGAATATTGTTTGATAGAGGATGGGAACCTCATCCTGGCATCACTTTGTGACAGTGAGAATTAAAAACATTCCATTCAAGGTTGAATGTTAACAAGGATCATGGAAGATTTGGTCTATTGCCCTACTATTGGCCCCTGTGAAGTATTTCCAGAATTCACTAAATATACCTAAGCTCCCAAAGAAWATTGYTGTTTTGGTATAATGGTGATATCAYCCCCAAACACCCCAAAACRACAAAAAATGAGTGGCAGCAATTGCTGCATTAAGAAAGCAATCTGAGTGTGGTATAAATATCAGATTTGATCCCAAGTCACAGCACACATCACTCGGGGTCAGMTGTGGGGTGGTGTCAGGGAGGGCTCACTTTCAGTGTCCTGAGCACTCTCAAAGGATTCATTTCACCTCCCACTCACAATTATTATCCCAATCCTCCCATCCTGGGATTCTGAGACCCACAGTGGGGTCTGGCAGCTCTGCTGGCCCAAACCCAGCCCCAGCATTGACACGGGACATTTGTGCAGAGCAAACACATCCTGCCAGATGCTTTTTGGGCAAACACATTCTGCCGGATGAGCCACACAAGCTYTTTGGGCACCCGCAATTATTTCCTTCCTCACAACCACATATTCCATATTSCTCTGGAATATGAGCTCCCCTGACACCTCCTGTTCTTCCCACTGTGCCCTCACACCTCACACTGCTGGCATGGAGAGAGAAATGCACTGACTGGCGGTGTAGGGAGTGTTGGATRCTCCAGGGAAGSYTTTTCTTTCTTTGTATCCATCTTTRAAAGTCTCAGCTCTTCCTTGAGTCGAGTGCTTGAGCTTGTAACCTCTGGGAATATTTGAGAGCACTCAGGACTAACATCCTGACACTGCACAGAATGCTAAGTGGATTCAAACATGTCCAGGACTCTCACCCTGAATAGGAGAATTTCCTATTTCGTTCTTTGCTCACACCAAAGCCAAGAAAGTGGTCCCATCACTTCACTTATGAGAGAAAAGCACTCTCACATGCCCCAGGCCCAGCCAAGGCTTGGCTGTTGGTTTTATTCCTCCTCTTCCTTTTTAACAGCAATGAAGTCCCTCAGTCAGGAAACACCTTTGATGGGAATCTTTTTAACCTGGTAACTAAACACAGGACCAGTCTTTGTCCCCTCATGAGCTAACCTGACACTTCATCCCCTGTCCCACACCCCCAAATCATTGCCTGGCTGGAAAGACCTCACTTTGCCTTCTTCTTCCACAAATCTGAGCAGCCACAACAGCCTGGAAGGAGCAGAGCTCCCTGCAAATGAGGAAATATCATCCTTCCTGCCTCGGGAACTGGTGATATCTCCCCTCTCCCACAGTTTCCCCCAGCAGCCAGGGCTGCAGCTCGTGTGGAGGCTTTGGCTCTGCAAAGCTGAGGTTTCCAGCACAGCAGAGCTTTGTGGCAGGCACTCCTCCTGCTCCTGCTGCTCTCTGAAACACCTTCTAAGTGAGAAAACACTTGGGGCTGCGAGAGAAAGCTGCTCTAGACAGACAACACTCCTCCAGACCCTTCCCAAAGGGCCACAGAAAAGAAAATCCAAACGCTGATGGAGAAAGAGCAACAATTCCCAACCAGGGTGGGGAGGGCTTTGCAAACACACCCACCTGGCTGCTCATTTTTTTTTTGGGTGTCTTCTCTGGGTGCTGTGACACCTCTTTAGGGTGTTGGAACCAGCAGAAAGGTGGGAATCACCCCAAGCCACCATGGCACAAAACCCCAGGTTCCCAGATAAACAGAGGGGATTACTGAGGTTCAGCTGCGAGTCAAAGTCTTTACTGAGTTAATGTAGTGTRCTTAATGCTGGAATAGTGGAGACTATCTCAGCACAGTAGCTCATTTTAAGGCAAACCAGCTCCCCGTAGAGAGATCAGAAAGCTGCTTCTCAGGAATTTAATTAACATTGGAGTATGTGAGATTATGTGCTGTATGAAAGCTGAGCAACATGATTGGTGTCAACAGAGTGATTCTGCACTTGAACTGGCAAAAAACCCATGCAGATTCAGGATGAAAGGTCTGCTTTGCTCTTAAAAATTGTYTATGCTTTATTATTATTAATGCCACACCATAGGTACATTTGCAGTTTGAAAGAGGTGATTCTAAAACCCCAAATATGAGGAGAAACTTTTGGCCATGAATATCCACCAGCACGCATGTGAGGCTGTCTCTGTTAGCACAGACCCTCT